AAAAAAAAAAAAAAAAAAAAAAAAAAAAAAAAATGAATGAATGAATGAAGAAGAAGATTGTTACATCGCATTCATCGATTTCATTTCATCATTGCCACCATCATCATCATCATCATCATAAATGTTTGTTTGATTCGTATTTGCATCTTATTGCTGTGCGTTTGTGATTTTAAAAAATTATTGTCATCAACAAAATTTTGTTTTTCGCCTTGAAAAAGGGGTATGTATTGCATCAATTTCCATAAACTTTTAATTTTATTTAGTTATTGAAACAAACGAAAAAAATCAAATAAAGCATTTAATTTAATTTAATTTTTTCTTCATCAGAATTTAAAATTTTAATTGAATAAAAGCAACAATATGACAGCAACAACGAAGAAGATGATGATGAAAAATATTTATCTTTGTTTTTGTGTAGGTGTTCAAAAAAAAAAGGAGAGAGAGAGAGAATAGTTTTGTCTTTTGTTAATGAAAACAATTAATCAATTAATTTTCTGCTTCTGGATTCCTTTTTTTCACAACAAAGAGAGAGAGAGAGAGAGAGAGAGAGAGAGATAGTTTTTTTAATTTGTAACGGAATTTACATTCAATTTTAATGTTAATTTTTTGCTTGTTTCTGTTGACAAACAAGACAAAGCAAAAATTATTCATACTTTTTATACATTTGTTTTTTCTGATTCATTCATAATTTTTCCACTATTTTCACACCATATATTCTCTTCATCAGAATCAAATATTTTCCTGCAATTTTCAATATTGAAAATGCAAAGAAAGAAAGAAGAAATTTATTGACTTGAAAAGAATTGATTTTGTTTGTTCGTTACTCGCATAGCAACAACAAAAAACGAATAAAAAAAACCCGATGATGACTATGATGATGATGATTGCGATGTAGAATCCGTGAATCGTCAATTTCATAATTCATTTTTTTTCAATATAATGTGAATATTGAATGAATCAAATTTGAATCAAACAGTGAATGAAATGAAATGAATGAAAGGAAAGGAAAAACCCTCAATCCATAGATACGCATTGAAAGATAATCATATTATTTCAATCAATGAGAAATTAGATATAAAAAAAACATGCATGAATTCTTTCTCCTTTATCTATATGTGTTTGTGTATATTTGAAAGAGAGAAAAAGTTCTATCTCGAGAAAAAAAAAGAAGAGAATTTGCTGATGATGATTTGGATAATGAAAAACTTTTTATTAGTATTATTTGATTTGACCAAATAATGATAATGATATTTTTTTTCTTTATATGTTTCTCTCTCTCTCTCTTTAGTTCTTAGTACAGGTTTACAATTTGTAACGAACCAAAAGAAAAAAAAATTAATAATTTATTCAATTTTTTTTTCATCACATGCACACATTTCGTTACAAATTTTAAACATTATCATTTTTTTTCTCCTTATTTTCAAATTTACTATAAAGAATTCATTGTCGTCATCATTATTATTATCATCTTGGTTGTAATAGACAGAAAAGTATTGAATTAATTCAACCATAAATGTTATGTTGTTTTTAGTATTATTCCTTTTTTAAAAAAAACAAAAACAAAATCAAATTACAAATTTCAATCAATTTGGCATTCAGGATTTTTTCCTTACGAAAAAACATCATCATCATTGACGAATGTGTTTGAAATGTCATTGATTTTCATTTGAAACAAACGAAAAATTTCTTTAAAAAAAAGAAAGAAAGAAAAAGAAAAAAGGTGAAAACGAATGGAAATTCATTCGTTTTTTTTCTCCTATTTTTGTCTCCTATTATCATCATCATCATTACATTATTATTTAAATGTGAAAAATACATTACAGTGAAGCCAACATTTTTCTCTTATTCTGTTATTCTGTTGTCAAAATTGTGATTCTTTTCTCGGTTCGCAAAACAAAAACAGAATTTTTTTTTGTTGTTGAAAAAAATACAGAATCTTTTGAAAACAGAATCTTTTTTCTTTCTTCATTTTGACTATTCAAATAAAAATCTTTTTTCTTTTTTAAAATTTGTTTTTGTTTCGTTTTGTGTGTGTGAAACTGTGAATTCGGTGCATGCGAATGAATACAATTCAAGGAACAAAGTAAAAAACAAAAACAAAACAAAAAAATCAATCGATCAGGCGAATTGAATCAAAAACCTATATATATCCTGTTTCCTTTCCTTTCTTTGATTTGATTTGATTTTGATTCCGTTTCACTTTAATTTTCACCGTGTATTATTAGTCGGGAAAATTTCCGTTATTTTATTTTTTTTTCGTTACTTGCCGATTTGATAATTAAAGGAAATTTCCAGGAATTTTTCCCTCTGTCTCTCTCTCACACACACACACACACATACTGTGAACTTAAAGTTAATTTAATTATTTTTTTTACCCCCTGTAAGTAACAAAAAAAAGAAAGAAAATTCTTTGATTCATTTAATCTAATAAAATTGATATTAGATCTATAGTCGATCGAAAAGAGAGAGAGAGAATATTCTTGTAGAATTCTAAGCCAGAATAACGTCAGCAGCAGCAGCGATAAATCTGATTATTAACTGGATTTTTTTGTTTTTTCTTTCGTAAAAATCGTAAAATTTCAAAACAAAAACGAAAAAAATAACTTTAAAAGATTTCTTTCTGCTTTTGCTTTGTTTTTTCAATTATTATTTCACCATTTGTCATCCAAAAAAAAAATCATTCATTTTTTGTTTTATTTCAAATTCAGATTCTTGCATTTTTCAATTTTCAATTCAATTCATTCATTCATTCATTTCATTGATCATCGAATCATGGTTATAACAAATGTTGATGACATTCGCATGATGATAACGAAATATTGAATGATCCAGACATATCAACAAATTATTAAAGACAAAGAAAGTTTGTGTGTGTGTCTGTTTTGAATTTGTTAGCCTGTTTTGCTTCGTGATTTCAATCAAATCAAATTTTTTTGTTTTTCAAACATTGTCAAAACACAACTGAAAGTTGAAATTTCAATTTTAAAACGTCATTCTTTTCCTTTGGATGTTTATAATTTACAATCGACCGTAACAGCAACTGATAATAATGTTGTTTATAATAATCAAGTAATGATGTTATTATTAGGCCATTTTCATTATCATTATAATCAACAACAAGAACAACTACAACAAGAACTACAGCAACAACAACAACAACAATCAGCTAATAATTCATTATTATCAACATCTGAATCAACAACAACAACAACAATGATGAAATTATATTCAAATGATATAATTAAACAATTACAAGATCAAATAAAATTAATGTCAAATGATACATATCGTCAGGAACGTATTTATTATGGTATTGCATATTTTATAATAATAATAATAAGTTTTTTTGGTAATCTATTGGTTTGTCGTATTTGTTTGAAAAAATATACGAAAACAAATTCATTAATACTGTCATTATCAATATCAGATTTATTGATGACCGTATTCAATATACCGTTTAATTTTTTTCGTATTGCAAATTTTTCCTGGCCATTTGGACAACCAATGTGTTTTATTGTAAATTTTGTACAATATTTAGTTGTTTATCTGTCAAGCTATACAATGGCTATTATTGCTATACAACGTTATCAAAGTTTAACCGGTTTTCGTCGTCATTCAACATCTGTTGTAATTGATAATAATCATAATCATAACCATAATAATCATAATAGTGATGTTAATCCTTTAACAACAACAACAACAACAACAATGATAAATAATCAGCAACAATCGACAACAACAACAACAATGATGACATCCATAAATAGCAGTAATGATAATGATATTATTATTATTGAACAACAACAACAACAACAAAATACAAATGAAACAACGACAACAACAACAATTTTATCATTAATAAATATAATTTTTAATCAAATTTATCAATTATATTTACAAATAAAATTATTAATATCATCTGTTTATTGTTGTTATTATTGTAAATATTATATAACTAAACAAATACCGGATAATGATGGTTATACCCGGCGTACTATTTATATATTAATTATAATAACATGGTTATTATCAGCATTAATATCATTATTATTTACATATTCATCGGAAGTTGTTGTTACTGAAGATGCAACATATTTATTATTATTTGCAATGAATTATCCAAAATTTTTAACAACAACAACAACAACAAATAATAATAATAATAATAATGATAATAATATCGATGATTATAATGATAATCTTCATACAATGATGAATAATTCTTATCAGATAAACTATAACGAAACTGAAAAATTATTTGATTTTGTAAATAATGAAAATGTAAATGAATCTATTGAATCATCAACAACAGCAACGCAACAACAATCAATGTTTGATCAAACAACATTAAAACGTTGTCGTAATCCAATCAATAAAAATGTACAACAATTTTTATTAGAAAATTTTTCAATCAAACCAGATCTATTTATAACGGTTACAGTATTTGTAACACAATATTTTATACCATTAGCTATTGTTGGTTATATTTATATTAAAATTGGTAAAATTATACAACGACAAGGTAAATTATATGATAATAGAGGTAAGTTTTGTTATTATATTGTAATTTTTTTATTTTTATCTACAAAATAAAAATAAGAATTTTAAATTATTATTATTATTATTTTTGGTTATATTTTAAAAATCCATTATTTTGTAAAATACAAAATGCTGCCAAGTTAGCTGCATTGATGTGATTTATTATTATTATTATTATTATTATTATTATCCATATCATTATATTATCCTCTTGCAACGCTTTTTGTTTCCATTTCTAATAGATTCAGAAATGTTTGTTTTCAATTATTCATAAGAAAATGTTTATAATTTTTTTTAATATTATAAAAAAGTAGTAGTAGTAGAAGAAGAAGAAACTCTTCAGAATATTAGTGAGCATTAATTTAATTTTATTTTTTAAAAAGCAAAAAAATGAAAATTCTTTGGAATTTTTCCTTTTTTCGCTTTATTCAGTTCAGTTTTGCAGTTTTTTCCAATACATTTCGCTTCGTTTTTTTTGGGTCTAAAAATATTTGACACTTTAATATTTTGAACAAACAGAAGCAGAAACAGAAACACGAAATTCATTTCAAAAAAGATTCATTCATTAATTTTTGTTTGTTGAGGAATTTAATCCGTACATTGTGAATGCATTTGAATGCGAATTGGTTTTTTTTTTGTAAAAAAATTTCAAAAAAAAAATTATCTAAAATTTGGTTATCAATTCTGTCTATTACTTTTGTAAAACTATTACTTTATCTGTTTATTTTTGCTTTTTTGCTTTACGTTTTTTCCGTTTTTCGGTATTTTTCAATATTGTAGGAAATGCAAAAGCACGTATCAGACAACGTAAAAAATTACGTCGTATATTAATGTTAATATTAATGGTTGCTGCATTTGCTATTTGTTGGCTACCATTACATTTATTTCATTTATTAACCGATGCTGGATTTTTACATTATAATTATCGTATATTTATGATGGTAAGTACAAAAATACAAAATACAAAATACAAATTACAAATACAAAATACAAATAATAATAATATTCCAATTAAATTTCAAATGAAACAAAAAAAGAAAGAAAGAAATTTTTGTTGTTATTTTTTTCCAAATTATAATCTAATTCATTATTTATTTGATTCTTGATTCAGTAGAAATCAAGAATCAAGAATTGAGAATTTTCGATTCTGTATTCTTTTCCCATTTTACCACAATTTTTTTTCTCATTTACTTTATTCGATTCCCTCTTCTCTCTCTCTCTCTCTCTCTCTCTCTCTGCATTTGCGTTTTTTTTCATTAATCCTTTTGGATTTTATAGTCAAGAACAACAACAACAAACAACCAAACAAACAAACAATCTTTTGGATGTTGTTTTTTTTTTTATTCCTATTCATCATCATCATCATTGGTGTTAAATTTTGTTTCTCAGATTATTTATTTATTTAATTTTATTTTATAATTAAATAACCGAAAACTGGGAAAAAAAACCTAATTATTTACGGCGAAGTAAAAAAAGTTTAAATTAATCAATGAATGAATGTATGGATGGACGAAAAAGAAAATACTTGAATTTTTTTTTCAGTGGGCAAAAAAAAAACAAAAATTTCCGTTTGTTTTTTTAGTTTGTTTTTGAATAGGAAGAACAAAAGCGGCAAAAACTTTTGCAACAAGCACATTGTTCATTATTTTTAGGTTGCGTAATGTTTTATTTAAAACTTTTTCGTTTTTCCTTGTTATTTATTTTTGTTTTTTGAACAGTAAACAAAAATTCGTATGAGGAAAATTAGATGGAACACGAGAATCTTATATTTTGTTTTTTCTGGTTCTTTTTTAAAAGTATCATTTTTTTCCTGAAACATTCAAGCATTTGATGAAAATAAATGAATCAAAAATACAAAAAAAGTTTTTATTTTCATTTTGTTTATCTCAAGCACCATTCATTTTAGAAAGAAAAAAAATTGGATAAAGGAGGGAGGATAAGAAGAAGAAAAACATATTTATTTTAACAATGGTGGTGTGGTTGGAGGTTGGAAGGAGGGGGAAAAATCAAAAATCAGTAAAAATAAAAAAAAAAATAAAAATAAAAATGAAAATCATAAAAAAAGAAAATCATAATCAGATCAAAAATCATCATCATTATCGATTATTGATTATCGACTATCGATTGTTTGTAATTGTAATTGTAATTGTCGAATCATTAATAATATTGCAGGATTAATAATCATCATTTTTCATCCATCCATCCATCCATCCATCGTGTTATAATTTTAATATCATATCGATTTATAAAATATTGATAATATTATAATTATTATTATTATAATAATAACGATCCAAATTGATATTGGATTTTGATTAATAATTTTTTTATATTGATTTTTTTGTAAATTATAATTATAATGATAATAATGATAATCATCATCATTATCATTATTATTTGGATTGTTTTCCTCACTTTCATCATTGTCTTGTTTAAATATTTTATTTGATTTCTTCTTCTTTTTCTTCTTCTTCAATTCCTGTTCATCATTACCAATTTCTGCTTCTTCATTTTTGTTGTTATTGTCGTCATCATCATCATTATTATCGTCAAAATTATCATCATCACCACCATTAACAACATTGTCATCAATAAATTTTTTATTATTACCATTATTACTATTACAATTATCATTTATTAAATGACCAAATTGTTTCTGTTCATTGCCATCATCATCATCATCGTTATCATTTATTTTCATTTTTCTATTCGATTCTTGTTGTTGTTGTTGTTTTTGTTGTTGAAGTTTTGTTGTTGTTGTTGTTGGCTTTAAATTACGATTTTCCATATCATTTATAATTATTTTTTCATCCATAAACAATGATGATGATGGTTTTTGCTGTTGCTTTGATGATGGTAATTTTTTTACCATTTCTATTTCTACCTTTTTGGTTGTTTCCGGTACAGTTGTTTTAGATAATGATTGTTGTTGCTGTTGTTGTTGTTGTTGTTGTTGTTCATTATTATTATTATTAGTTTTATTATTATTATTATTTATTTTCATTGTTTTTTTTGTCATTTCTAAATAATCTTTACTTATATGGCATAATATTTCAATTTTTCTATTATGTTTACAATGATTATTATCATGTTGTTGTTGTTGTTGTTGTTGTCGATGTTGTTGTTGTTGTTGTTTTGGTTGTTGATCATTGTTGTTGTTGTTGACAATATTGCCATGAACAACATTATTATTACAATTTCTAAAATTATTAAGATCATTACGTCCTAAATATCGTGTTGTCGATGTTGTTGTTGTTGTTGCGGTTGTTGTTGTTGTTGTCGATGAACGTTGACGATATTCATTCAATTCTAATATAAATTTTGTTCGACATAATTGATCAATCATTATTGATAATTTTTCATTATTATTATTATTATTAATATTATCATTTACAAATGAATTTGTTGACCAAGAATAATGATTATTATTATCATTATTATTTGATGATGATGATGAAGGTGATACTATAAATATAATATCGACAAAATTTCCACAACGTATACGACCACGTAATGAATTAATATGAATATTTAACGATAATGATGATGATGATGATGATGATGATGGTAATGCTGTTGTTGCTGCGGTTGTTGATGATGTTGTTGATGATGATATTGGTGATATCTGTATAACATTATTCATCATCATCATCATTGAACGTTTTTTCATTGGATAATAACGATTATTATTATTATTATGATTATTAGTATTAGTATTATTACTTGTATTATTACTAGTATTAGTATTATTATTATTATTACGATTATAATTATAATTTGTAAATAATAATTTATAATATATATCCATATCGATACAAGGATTATGTATACGTAATTGTGCAAATAATATACATCCAATTGCTTTTTATAATAATTATTTTATAATTTGAAAAAAAATTCGAATGGGTCATTCACAAATAAAATAGAACCAAAAAAATAATGATTTGTAATTAATAATTTTCAAATTACAAAAATAATAACTTACCATTAAAAACTAATGGAATATAATTACAATTTAATGATGATGATGATGATGATAATGATAATAAATTTAATGTTTTTTGTTGTTGTTGTTGTTGTTCATCATTGATTGTTGTTGTTGTCAATGTTGTTGTTGTTGTTTGTTTTTCTTCTTTTTTAGTTTTTTCATTAATCATCATTATTGATGATGATGATGGTGATGGCGATGGCGATGTTGTTATGAAACGATTTTTTATTTCAATTGTTTCATTAAAATCTGTTCGTTGAAATATACGAGATCGACGCCATTGTTGATTTTGATGATGATTCTGTTGCTGTTGTTGTTGCTGTTGTTGATTTTGCTGTTGTTGTTGTCGTCGTTTATTTTTTCCCATCATCATTATGATTTATTTCGTTGTTTCGTTTTTCGTTTTTTCTCGTTTGTAAAATTGTCAACGAAAATATATTTTTTTTTTTTCAAAAATTTTTTTTTAGCCAACAAAACTCGAATCAATTACATCGTTGACGTTTTATATATGTATTTTTTGAACAAAAGGAGATTTTCGAAGTTTTTTTTGAAAAATTGAATTAAATTTTGGAATTTTTTTTTCATTTTCATTGAAATTCCATTTTTGTTTTTTCGCTTTACAATTTAATTATATTATTTTTTTTTGTTCTTTTGTTCGACTATTTTCACCCAATTGGTATATGATTGGTCATTTATCATCATCATCATTGGCTATCTTGGTTTCTTTTTCTTAAGAAATTGGATCAATTTGTTATTAAGTACGGTTTTTTGTTTTTGTTGTTTCGTTTCATTCGGCATCAATAGATTTGCTTTTTTGGTTGGCTATTTTGTTTGTTTGTTTTGTTCATTTAAACTGGATTAGATTGTCAAATTTTCGTTCTCTCTCTCTCTCTCTTTTGAGATTTTTCATGTGGGTTGGTTGTTTTTGTTTTCAGATCATTAAACGATGTTGATGAAAATTGAATGATTTGCTTTTTTGGGTGATTAAAATGATGGACAGAGTAAAAGAGATGGACTTGAAGAAAAAAATGTTGATGGTTTTCAATTGAAACTTTAAAAAACCCCGACAAACGTCAATTAGATGGATCCACACAAACAAACGAAGAAAATACAACAAAAATCAATACAAACAACAACAACAAAAAACGATAATCAATCAAAATTAATTTTAAAATTTTTTCATTTTTTTCCCATCCATCCATTCATCCATCCATCATCTATCATCATCTATTATCAACTATTCAATTTTGTAGGTACATTGGTTGGCAATGTCATCAGTTAGGTAAGTAGTTTTTTTCTTGGAATTTTTCCCAATTGAAATAATTTATTTCAATGTTTGTTTTTCACGTTTTTGGAAAATTGAAAATCGAATCTCTGAAATTTCATCTGGAAATTGAAAAAATGCAAAAAAAAACTTGAAAAAAACAAATTGAACCTAATCAAACTAACCAAAAAAAAAAGCTATAATCCATTTATATATTGTTGGCTGAATAAAACATTTCGTCATACAGCAATGAAAATATTATGCTGTGGTCGAATTGAATGTTGTCGTTTAATATTATTAATGAAACAACGTAAACAACGACGAAAACAACAGCAAAAGCAACAAGATAAATCAATTATGATGACTGTAAATCATCGTAATCATCATCATCATCATCAAATTGATATACAAAGTTCATTCGATAATGATAATGATAACAACAACAACAACAACAAAAACGACAACAACAACAACAACAACAATGATAATCAATCAACATCACCAACAGCATTCATAACTGATGATGATTTAGATGATTTAAATCAAACAAATCAATCGATTATTATTATTAATAATGATTGATTGATTCTGTAAAGCAGATGAATCGATTGAATGTCAACAACAACAACAAAAAATCGCTGAACCACCTTGATTGAATAGATTGATTGATTTCAGGTATGTTTCTTGGAAAATTCCCTGGAAATAAAAAATTATTCGTTTTTTTTTTAAATAGAAAATTACAAAATTTCCGGCAAATTTCCTTATTTTTTAAGAAATTTCCCCCCTCCGCAACAAAATTGTTTTTCCCTTCTTTCGATTCTATCTTGCTATGCTTGCTATTGAATTTTATTTTATTATTTAAAAGAACGAAAAATCAATTTTCGTTCGTTTCGTTTGGTTCCCCATCCTTTATTCCATCATTGTTTTATCATTAAATAAATATTGATGAACAACCAACCGACCGAACTGAATAAAAAATAAGTTGATTTTGCTTTCGCCATGCATCTCTCTCTCTCTCTCTCTCTCTCTCTCTCTCTCTCTCTCGCTGTGAATATTGATTGATATTTTGGAAAATGGGGAAAAAATCGATAATCAGCAGAAAACAATATATATTTTCAACAATAACAACAACAAAATAATGAAAAAAAGCAAAATCCTAATAAGATTTTCATTTTCATTTTTTCTTCTTGTTTCGCTATGTGTGTTTCGCTATGTATGCTTGTTGAATTTGAAAAAAACTGAAAATATATGGAAAATATATCAGATGAAAATGAAAATGAAAAGAAAGGGAGATGGAAGAATTCGAGAGAGGGAAGAAAAAATCATGAATATAATGCGATAAGGATTTCCCTGAAGATTTTCAGAGATTTTTTTCATATAGTTTTTTCTATTTTCTTGTTTTTTATTATTATTATTTTTTTTCATTGATTCAATCACCAACAATATTGGCAATATAGACCATTATTAATCGAATGAAAAGTAACAACAATAACATCAACCAGAATTTGATTGAATAAAACAAATGAAACGAAACACGAAACAAAGCGAAAAACAATTTATTCAAATGAAATGATTGAAATGAAATGATTGAATCGATTTTATCGAAAGATTTTGGTTTTTCATTTTCATCATAATCATCATTATCATCATCAATCAGCAAAATGATGATGATTTTTTTGCCATAAATTCTTCTTCTTCTTCCCTAATAGCAATGTGTTATTTCGATGTTTTCAATAATGAACTATACTGTATTGCGAATATTTTCATTTTGGAATTTATTCCAATTCAAAATATCAATAATGAATAATGAATTTTGTTTGTCTGTTTGTCTGTTTGAATGTTGTAAATGTTGTTTATAATTATGATTATGATTATGATTATGATTCTCATACAAACAAACAAACAAATAATGAATTGGACAATAAATATAAGATAACTTTTTGCTTGTTTTGTTTGTTGTTCTGCTGCTGTTGATCTGATTTGTTTAATCATTCCATTGAATTCCTTTGCTTCGTTGTTGTTGTTGTTTTTTCGTTTGTCGAGTACAATCATGTGTTTATCATCATCATTTGGCAATAATGTACAGCGAAAACAGGGCATAAAAAGCCAGGGCCAAAGAAGAGAGAAAATGAACAACAACAACAAAATTCTTTGTTTGAATAGGAATTATGCAATAATAAAAGCAACAACAACAACAAAAAGATATGCAAATAATAATAATTAGAGAATATGATTGAGATGTGTTCTCAAGAAATTTTCCCAATAATTTTCCCCAAATTTTCCAATATTGGATCATTATTTTTCCGTTATTTCACTTGACCTAATTGCAATCAATCATTATCACCATATAAAACAACAACAACAGAATGGACAACAACAACAACAAAAAATGATAATTCAAAGTTATCAAAGTAACGAAGGAAAAAGAAAAAGAAAAGCAAATTTTTATTGATAATGTCATCCGAAATTATCAAAGAAACACACATACACACACATAAATCAAATCAATGGTTGTTAATTGATTTTTTTCGTTTTCGTGCTTCTTTGCACAGTTATATCTAATCAATCAATCAATCGATCGATGATTGAATTATCAAAAGAAAAAAAAATTTGTTTCATCAATATATCACTCTCATTTGTCAAAATGAACTTTTAGTCATTCGACATTTAAAATTCAAAAACAAAAACAAACCAACCAAGTAAAATAAGGAACCAAAATCAATAAATCAGTTTTTTTTCTTCGATTTTCTGTTTCTCATCATCCATAATCATCATCACTGATGACAGACAAATTTTGTTGACAAAAAAAAAAATTATTTCGAAATTTGATTTTTGTTTGTTTGTTCTGTTTTTTTGCTTTTTTTTGGGTTTTTGTTTCATCACCAATAACGTCAAACCTGTGATTTTTTTGCTCGATCAGGTAAATTAAATCAATGTAAATATCAAACGTGTAACGAAACGGCGTTTGTTTTGTTTGTTTTTGGTTTTTGTTTGGGTGAATGTCATTTTGATTTCGCAAACTCAAAAAAAAATTTTTTAATTGAATTTTGCTCAAATTTCAATTTGATTTATCATCATCATCATTATCAAGTGGTAGTTAGGTAGATTTTAAATCCTGTAAATCCTCCTCAGTCATAGAGAAAATAACTCCTATTTTTTTTTTACTAAATTGATTGCATCGTTGTTGTTGTTTGTAATCAAATCTGTACACACTTGGATCTTCTTTTGTAATTAATTCTAATTAATTTGTTGATTATCATCATATGTGTGTGTTTGTGTGCGCGTTACAGTTACAAATTTTGATCCAATTTTCGGATAAGATTCGATGGCTAAATTGATAGTAAAAGCAGCAGCAGCAGCAAATTTTTCAATTTAAAATCAATCATTGAATTGATTTGATTGGAATCGATTTTCTACATAATCATCCAATAGTTTTGAAAAAAAAGTTGTCAAATTTTTTCACTTTTTTCACTTTTTTCAAAATTCTTTAAATTCCTTGTTTGTTTGCTTTTTCCCATATAAACAGAAAATGGAAACTTCTTCATCAACATCATCGAATGATTCGAATGGTATTCGTTTAATAGCAGCTGGAATTTTATTCATATTAACATTATTAATGGGTACAATACCAGTTTATTTATTGGAATTTTCGACAAAATATTTTAGTCGAATCAAAAATTCAAATGAAAATTCCTATACATTATCATCACCATCATCATCACCATCTACATCCACATCGACAACAAAATTATTGTTAATGAAAAATCATAAACGACGTTGGTTTCATCATGATCGTATTGTACAATTTTTAACACAAATTGGTGGTGGTGTCCTTTTCTATACGGCATTCGTACATATGTTACCTGAAATTCGTGAAAATTATGAATCATATCTTAATGATAATAATGATAAATCAAACAATATGACAAATAATGTGATAAATAAGACAAATTTAATGATTTTTGCAGGTGATGATAATGGTGGTGGTGGTGGTGATGAAGGTGGCGATGAAGATTCATTACCATTAGTCGATCTTTGTGCATGCGCTGGCCTGTTTGGTATATTTTTACTGGAAGAATTGATGCATTTATTATTAGGTAATCATGGCCATGGCCATGGTCATCATTCGAATGATCAACCACAGCAACAAGAAAATGTATCGAATCAAAATAAACGATTACAACAAAGACAACGACAATATTCTCGACGTTTATCATCATCATTTAGACAATGTAGCGGTGATAAACAAGTTGCTAAATATAGTCAACAAATTAATGATGATTTTCCACCACCATCAACTTCTTGTTCATCATCGATTCCGATGAATGTTGGTGAAAATTCCAAAATAACCACCACAGTAGCAACAACGGAAATTAAGAACAAATCATCACCATTGAGTAAAAAATTAAATAATCCATCAACAATATTATTATCAAGTGGTTTTAGTGAAACACATCCAATATCATTAAATCAACAACAAACAATTGTTGATTATAATACCTGTTCCAAATCTAAATGTAAATATTACTTTTTTTCCTTTTTAAAAAAATAGATTTTTACCTGAACAAACAATCAATTTTTGAAACTTTTATTTTTCTTTTCTTCATTTAACCCTATCCATCTTCTCTAGGTTCACATCCAAATCATCAGCATAATGATAATGAACAGAAGAATAATGTTTTTATTGTTAACAATGAAAATGAAATTATTATGATGAATCAAAACAACAACAACGACAACAATGTTAATGATCATATTACAGACAATAAATCATCAATATGGCCAAATATAATTGATAATTTTCTATTAATATTAGCATTTTCATGTCATTCAATATTTGATGGTATATCGATTGGTGTACAAACAAAACATGATGAAATTTGGACAATGTTAATTGCAATATTATCACATAAATTATTGATTGCATTTATATTATCATTTCAAATTTATGAAAAATGTAATGAAAAATTATCCATTAATCCATTATCTGGTTCATCATCAATAATTAAACACCAAAGACGACAACATATAAAAGGAGCTAAATTAATATTATGGTTTTTTAGTACATTGTTTGCATTAATGTCACCGATCGGTATATTTATTGTTATGATTATGAATAATCAATCGGATACACCGAATGAAAAAAGTCTGCATATAATAATATTGGCTGCTATTTCAGCTGGTACTATACTTTATATTGTTTTTTTCGAAATTATTGATAAACAAACTACACGTTTACATTTGAATGGCCTAGTACAATGGATTGCAATGGCCATTGGTTTTGGTTTAATGCATCTTATTTCGCAGCTATTTCATGAATGATAAACGAAAACAACCGAAGAAACAACCGAGAAAAAAAAACTTTATTTTGATAAAATTTTCAAGTTTTTTTCTAAATTATTTTGTAATTATTTTGATATTTACGATCATGTTTGGATGTTTTAATTATTATTTTATCTATCCCTTAAAAAAATTGACATCATTATAATCATTATTATTATTATCGACGAAATGAAATTGATAAATTATTTTTCGTTGTTCTTTTTTTTTTGTATTTTTAATTATCATTATTAATTATCATCTGACTTGTGAATTTATAAAATGAATAAAAAAATTTGAAAATTTAAGCCAAAAGATTGTGTGTTCTTTCCTTGTTGCTTTTCCTTATTATTTGTTTCGTTCAAGAAACAAAAATGTTTGTTTGTTTGTTTGTGACTTTTATCGATGGTTTGTGCGTTTGATGATGATAATGAACATGATTAGATCGATTGATTATATCGATCGATCGACTGATTTTTCCTTGGTTCATAGTGTGACATTGATTTGTTCAATATTTTTTTGTTTCAAGTGAGAGTGAAAGCGAAAAACAAGCAGTGTGAAAAAGAATGGAAAAATTCAAAATACCCGATATTCCAAAAATATCGCCAATTATTTCGGATAAAATTTCATCATCATCATCGATGGAACGTAAACCGAAACCAAAACAACAACAACAACAACAACAACAAAAGCGACAACAACAACAACCACAAGAATCAACAACAACAACAACAAATAAAGAAATTATAATTGAAAAAAAATTATGTCCACCTTGTTCCAGATTATTAATGAACAATACAATCATACAAATACAAAAATGTTTAACGAATTTATTGAACATTATTGATAATGATATTATCGATGAATATTGTATGGATGATAAGAAGAAGAAGAATTTTACGAAAAATTTATCAATGATTGATCATCATTTTGAAAATAAGAAAAATAATATTGAAAAAGTTTTAATAAATAATAATAATAATAATGTTCAATCATCTATCAAAAGTAATAATAATAATAATGATGTTGATGATGATGATGATGATGGCAAAAAAAATGTAACAAAATTTTGCTGTCATCAACAGGAAAATTTGTCATTAATTTGTCAACAACAACAACAACAACAACAACAAAATGATAAACAAACTAAAATTGTACTGGCAGAAGAATCGAGACATCAACAACAATCAAATCCATTAGTTTGGAATAATGAATCGATTAGTGAAGAGAATAATTTTGGTCATCCACATCAACAACAACATGAACAACAACAACAACAACAAATTGATAATCAACATCAAATCAATCATCATCAACAACAACAACAACAACAACAACGTCAGCAAAAAATTATTGTTGACAAAAATACAATTTTTCAAACACCATTATCAACAACAGAATTATCAACTGAAATGATNAGTGTGACATTGATTTGTTCAATAATTTTTTTTATTTTTTTGGTTTCAAAGCAAAAGTGAGAGTGAAAAACAGCATGAAAAGAATGGAAAAATTCAAAATACCCGATATTCCAAAAATATCGCCAATTATTTCGGATAAAATTTCATCGTCATCATCGATGGAACGTAAACCGAAACCAAAACAACAACAACAACAACAACAAAAGCGACAACAACAACCAGAATCAACCACAACAACAACAGCAAATAAAGAAATTATAATTGAAAAAAAATTATGTCCATCATGTTCAAGATTATTAATGACCAATACAATTATGCATATACAAAAATGTTTAACCAATCTATTGAACATTATTGATAATGATATTATCAATGAATATTGTATGGATGATAAGAAGAAAAAGAATTTTACGAAACATTCATCAATGATTGATCATCATTTTGAAAATAAGAAAAATAATATTGAAAAAGTTTTTATAAATAATAATGTTCAATCATCTTCACATATTATCAAAAGTAATAATGATGATGATGATGATGATGGCAAAAAAAATGTAGCGAAATTTTGCTGTCAACAACAGGAAAATTTGTCATCAATTTGTCACCAGCAACAAAATTATGATAAACAAACTAAAATTGTACTACCAGAAGCAAATGAATCGAGACATCAACAATCAAATCCATTAGTTTGGAATAATGAATCGATTAGTGATGAGAATAATTTTGGTCATCCACATCAACAGCAGCATGAACAACAACAACAAATTGATAATCAACATCAAATCAATCATCATCAACAACAACAACAACAACAACAACGTCAGCAAAAAATTATTGTTGACAAAAATACAATTTTTCAAACACCATTATCAACAACAGAATTATCAACTGAAATGATGATGAAAAATTCTTCAAATTCATATTTTCAGGAAAATTATAATGCTGTTGTTGATGTTGATGTTGATAATGAAGAAATTCTTGAGAATTTGAATAAAAACATTATGAATAATGATGATGATGATGATAATGGAGATGTAAATGTTTTGAATAAAACATCCGATCGATTAGAGAATTTAAATACTGAATTCGGTTCATCGGATGATGATGTCCGAGCGTTGGCCGCATCCGCCACCGCCGCATCCGCATCCGATTCTATAAATGTTATCATTGATAAAAATGATTGTCCATATGCATATGTTACAATAATAACAAATAATTTACAAGCAATCAATTCAATTATAATGGCCAATTCATTATATTATTATAATAATCATAATTTAATTATACATCATCAACAAAATGATAATAATAAACAAATTAAACATTATTATCGTATACCATTGATAATATTCATACAGAATGATGATGATCATCATAAAATTGATTTAGAAATCATTCAATTGATTCGAAGATTTTTTGATCATGTAAGTTTTTTTTTTACTTCTCTAATAAAAACTACCACAACAGCAAATCGAAAGCAAAACTTTAATCAAATTCTTTCCATTTTCTTTTACTTGTTTACCAAAAAGGTGATCGAATTAAAATCAAACGATTTAACATTATTAAATAATAAAAGTCTTGGTATAAATCATCAAAAAGTACATTTATGGAAATATTTATCCGAAGAGAAAATTTATACGAAATGTATTTATTTGGAATCAAATTTATTGGTATGTTTTTCTTCGATGTTTTGTTTTTCTATTGATTTTGTAATGGATTATTTTGTTGTTTTTGTCCAAACAACAAATCGATTGGTTGAGAGGGGAAAAAAATAACACCACCAAAAACTGTTTTTCTGTTTTTTTTTCACACATCCTTTTTTCCCCATCACATCCCCAACGTGTTAATCACTTTGATCATATTATTATTATTATTATTATGTTTGGTTTTGGTTTTGGTGGTTATTATTTGTTTTGTTTTGTTTTTTTTCATTATTTATTTTTTTCTCATATATAGATTGTTGGTAATATATCAAATCTATTTATTGATTATATGGAATTATCAGCTTGTGTTGATTGTTTTTTTATCGATTATTTCAATTGTTCAATGTTTGTTTTTGAACCAAATAAACAAACATATAGACAGTTAATACATTTTGGATCGAAATCATCATCATCATCATGTATGTTTTTATCGATTGTTATTTTCCCACAAGGAGATTATTTATTTATTTATTGAATTTTCTCTGTTTTACGGTTATTTTTTTTTCTTCGGTTTGTAGCTTGTTCAATATCGAATTCGGTGGTGAATAATAATGATAATTTAGATGGTAATCATAATTTAGATGATGAACCAATGGATGAAATAACTTTATTAAATGAATTTTTTCATTCAAAATGGAAACGTTTATCATTTATTTATAATTATTTACGTAATGATCTTAGCTATACACAACAATCAGCATATTTAAGGTATTTATTAATTTCTTTTTTTTGTGTTTGTTTCCGGGAATATTTCCAATGAATTTTTCGTCGTTTCCACCTACAAATGAAAAAATAGATTTGGTGAAAATATTCGTATAGTTAATTTTGGTAATTATCGTCAAACAACAACAACAACAAATAATACTAATCAACAACAACAACAACAAAATGATAAAATATTTTCATTACAACCATGGGATTATAAATTTAATTTAAATTATGCATCATTAATGATTAATAATAATAATAACAGTAATAATAATGCTAATAATAATCCATTTGAAAATGATCCAATCGATGATTATTCAAAATTTTATCTATTAATATTTATACGAAGAATTTGGCCACTTATATCGATGGTAAGTGTTAATTTTTCTCTCTGAATTGATTGATTTTTGAATGAAAATTTTGCTTCAAAAATCTTAGAAATTAACCCCATTAATGCTTGAAATGGAACAACAACAACAACAACGACAACAACAAAATCCTAAAAAATGGTCAGTACGTGAAATAATAACCATGTTTCAATCAAGATTTGATGATCGTATACAGTCACCATCATCATCAACATTAACACTATCGTCACCATTATCAAATTATCGTAATAATTTTGATCAAAATTCATTTACCTTACGTCGATTATCAACAACAACAACAATGAATAATAATCGATTCTTATATGATAATAGTAACAACAACAATGATGATGATCGACAGCAATTCAAACGTAATCAGAAAAATCAAATGTCAAAAGAATCGGGTAAATGATTATTAACAAAATGAAAGAAAGAATATTCTTAATTTGTTTGATGTGTGTTTGATCTGTCTATGAGCGTGGGTTGATGCTGAATGAATTGATAAAACATTTTTTCTTCCTTTCTTTTCTTCCTTTCTTTTCTTCCTTTCTTTTTTTTGGTGAATTTAGCAGAAAAATCATTGAATCATGTTTCAATTGTCAATAATGTTACCATGACAATCGACAATAGTGACAGCAACAACAACGACGATGATAATCAAGATGAACATGTTTTGAATTTTGATTATGAACAATCAAATCAGTTTGAACAACAACAGGAACAACGATGTTTGAAGAATGATCATCAGGATGATGTTGAAGAAGAAATTGTTACCACGAAACAAATTGGCATGTATTATGTTTTTCATGTTAAAAAAAAATGAACTAAATGCCTTTGTTTATTCAATGTTTTTTCCTCTCTCTCTCTCTCACTAGATTACAATACGAAGATGCAAAACAACAGCAACAATATTGGTAGGAAAGATGAATGGGAAAATGGCCAAATTGATTGGCTACATCAATATCAATCGGACAGAATTATTGATCGTCTTTTGACTAAATTCTGAACACAAAAAAACAAAATTCTGCTGCCATTTTTTAAAGAAAATAAAAATTGAATTTTATTGAGAGAAGAAAAAAAAATTTCGTGATCAAGATCAAAATGAATGAATAACCGATTCATCAATAATACATTTATCTTGTTTGCTTCGTTTCGTTTCTTTGAATTTTCAATAAGATTTTCTTTTTTTTTCCTTTTCCTATCTAAACATTATAACCGATTGATTTATCGGAATGTACTCAATATCCACGTCCAAACAAAATTGGATTAAAAATCAACTTTTTTTTTTGTTTTGTTTTCAAGTTTTTCTATGTTTTAATAATAATATAGGATAATATTAACACTTTCCTCTCTAACGGGATATTTACAATTCTTTTCTCATTTTTATAGGTGGTAAGGGTTAAAAAAAATCATCAAAAATCAGCACAGAAACAATTTGTATTTATAGATTACAGAAATCTAGTATTTTTTTTTGCCCAGAATTTTCATCATCAGCATTATTATTATTATTTTCGTAAAGATCAAATATTTATTCTGGGGGGGAAAAAAAGTTTTCTGTTGTTGGGGGAAATGGCGGCGGCGACGGTGGTGGCAGGGTTAAACAGAAATTAAACACAACATTTCATTTGAAACATTTCATTTTGATGTGGATATTTTTAGCATTATTTGTATTTGCAAAAGGTTATTTATTTTAATTTAAAAAATTTAAAATAAAATAAAAAAATCCAATTTCAACAAACAAACAAACCAGAAGAAAAAGATTCTGGTGTTTATCTGGTGGTGTGCATAATGAAAACTGTGAATAATGAAATTACATTGATTTTTTCGTTTGGAATGCCTATGGGGTAATCCAATCTAATCAAGTAATGAATGAATGAAAACAAAAAATATGAAACAAACTGATTTTCACTGATTCAATCCATTCAATAATGGATTTTTTTGAAAAAAATTTTAAAAAAGATGAAATATGTGCTGCCATCTATTGAATGGAAATAGTAACCGATATGTGTTTTTTTCCTTTTGTTGAGAAAAAATCCAAAATTTGAAAAATTTCTTTTCAGCATTTTTTTTTAATATTATCATTTTGTATTGGTGAAACGATCCGAATAAATATGATGATAATGATGATGATTAAAAATGACAAAGCAAGAGAATATATATTTTTTTTTCCTATTTGTATTGTGTTTTGAGTGCAAAGAAAAAAAAAACATTTCAAAATTTCATTCATTCAGGTCATCATCCAAAATAATAATAATATCATTTACATCCTGATAAACACCTTTGCATAAAGGTGTTTATTTTTTCATTATTCTCTACACACACACACACAAACAGCTGTATAATCGTCGTACCGAAACACAAACAAAACAAAAACAAATATCCAATACATATCCATTTAGATTTGCGATGAAAAAAAAGAAAGAAACAGGAAAATTCTATCAAATAACAAATGCTGATGATGATGATCGGTTGAATAAATTCATTGAAAAGAAGGAGATTGAAAAATATATTTTCCATTATTTCATCGAGATGATGAATATGGAATAGTTGGTTGGTTGATTGAATATATGTTTATTGGATTCATAATTCAAACAACCATAACAACCATAACATCATTTTTGTTCAGGTTTTGTCCAGGTTTACACAATCTAAATTTCATCAATCATAACACCATATTGATGATGATGCTAACATCAACAATATTATTATTAATTCAATTATCGACATCAATTCAACAATCAATAGATTTAGTACCAAAATTAATACGTCGTCCAACACATTTAGATCATTATCTTTGTCGTCAATTACATAATGGTATTGGTTTACGTGCTATTGCTGTTACTGTATGTAGAAAAAAAATTTGTATTTTGGAAACATTTTTTCATTTCTCCCATGTTTTTCTTCTTTTTCCCCCCGAAGAATCTAAGCGGTGATGTTTGTCGAACCTATTGTCGTGTGATGGATCGTATGGGTGGAAAAATTTACTATACTGAAAATATTAGTCCAAATTTTGTTCGTTGTGGTTTATATCAAGCAAGGGTAAATTTTGTTGTTTCAAAATTATGTTTTTATTTAAAGTTTAAACAATTTTTTTTTCATTTTTCAAATAGTGTGTGGATGGACAATGTATTGGTCATAATTTTCCCGTAAATAATAATAATAATAATAATAATCAAATGATAACATCATCTGTATCGATTTTATCCGATAATAATAATCAGTTTGGTAATGATGATGGTGATAATATCAGCAACAGCGACAATAATGATGAAACAATCGATAAATCATCATCGATAGAATCGATTGATATGATGAAAAAATCATCAACAGCAACAGCAACAACAACAACAACAACAACACCATCATTATTATCATCAAAATCAATGGCCAATCATCATCAATGATAATCAAATTGAAATTCTTTGAAGGAAATTTTTTTTACAATAAGTTTTCGTTGATATAAATAAAAATGAAAATGAAAAATGACAAATGAATTTATCTTGCGATGTAATGTTTTTTACCAAACGGTACATTTTTTCACTGGATTCATACGGCTACCAATTTCACAATTATAAGCATTTGAAAAATCATATGAATTTGATAATGGTCCAAGTACGCTAAATTGAATTTTAACGAAGAAAAAAAAAAGAAAATTAATAGAAATTTACAATTTTTGCTTTCAGTGTTGATTTACCGAATAGGTCCAGGACTATGTACCGATGAACGAATCTTGTTCAATGCATCTTCAGGTCTCATCGAACCACACCAGATCTGAAAAAAAATATCAAGTAATAAAAAAAAATAATCATTATCCAAGGAAATTTCTTCTTTCTTTCTTCTTTGCTTAAATAATTTAATGATCGTTACCTGTGCATAATTTAGAAAAAAAAGCTGATCATGTGTTAGATTAAGACCGGGTAATAATGGTTCAACATTATTTTGTTTTTCCCATTTTTTAAATGCACGATATGCCTGTTTTAGGCCACCATTATCGGCAATATTTTCACCTATAAAAAAAAATTCAATTCGGAAATTGATCGAAGAGAGAGAGAGAAAAAAAAAAGTTTAATCAAAAGTTTTTTGTTTTTCCATAATAAAAAAAAACAGCTACTATACCTTGTGTCATACGACCATTAACATTAGCATTAATATCTTCTAAAACATAACTTGAATATTGATCAATAATACATTGTGCACGTTCACGAAAACGTTTGATTGTTTGATTATTCCACCATTGTTTCATATTACCATTTTTATCAAATTGTCGACCACGATCATCAAAACCATGTGTTATTTCATGACCAATTACAACACCGATACCACCATAATTTAATGATCTTTTTTTTATTATTATTTTTTTGTTTGGTTCAATCAAAAAAACAAAAACAAAATGAATTAATGAATTGAAAAACGAAAAAAGAAAAAAAGTTTCGATAAAACGAAATTCGATTGAATAATAAATTGAAAAAAAAACGAAGAACGAAACGAAGAAACAAAAACTCACTTGGGAAAATAATGTGAATAGAATAATGGTTGTAATATACCAGCAGGAAATACAATATCATTTTTATTTGGACTATAAAATGCATTTACAACAGCCGGATCAGTTGTCCAACTATCTTTATCGACGGCTGTACCTAATTTTATTAGATTTTTATATGCCTCAAAGCGAAATACATTTAAAATGTTTTGTAAAAATTTATCTTCATGTATTTCAAGCTATTTGCCAAAAGAATAATGAAAGAAAAGAATTTTCGAGTAAAAAAAACAGCAACATAAACAATTTTTGTTGTTAACTTACAAAATTATATTCCTTTGATAATTCAATTGGATTTGTTAATAATTCTGGATAACCAATACGTTCATTAATAGCATCAGCTTTTTCTTTTGCTACTTGCCGTGTTTCATTATCCATCCAATCATTAAAATTTAATAATTCATTAAATGCTACACGTATATTATGTATCATTTCGATAGCAATTTCTTTACTTTTTGGATCAAAATTATCACGTATAAATAATGCACCAACAGCCATACCCATTTTTTTATTTACTAATTCAACGCATTGACTCCAACGTGTACGATCAGCAGATATTCCTTTTGATTAATTGAATTGATAAGAATTTGTTTCAAGAAAGTTTTAATTAATCACAGAGAAACTTACCAAATAAAATTTTACGAAATTTTGCACGTTTCAAACCAAATTCATTATCCAAAAATGGTAATATACTTTTCATTAAACGCCAAATAGCATAATTATATATGATACGACGATCATCATTCATAATCTGTTTGATTAGTTTACCCATTTGTTGATAATAATCTAATGAATATATAACAATTTCTTCATTATTTTCATCAATCGATATTGGCATAAAATTTTTTAAATAACCAATCCAATCAAATTCTGGTACTAATTGTTTTAATTGTTTTATAGTTTTTTTATTATAAATTGCGCTAGTATCATGACGATCAGCTTCAGGCATTGATGCCTATTTTGAAATTCAATTTAAATTTTAATTAAAAGAAAACAAATTGATTAATTTTAAAGAATAAACTTACATTGGCCAATTGTGTTTCAAATTCTAAAACTTTCGACATTTCAACGGTTGCATAATCACGATCAGCACCCAATAATTCAGCAATATCGATCATCAATTCTAGATAGGCATCTTTTTCTTTATTTGGATTTTCTTTTAGAAAATATTCTCGACTTGGCAAGCCAAGACTTGTTTGATCAAATTGTATAATATTTAATGATGAATTTCTATCATCCGGACCAATATATTGTTCAACAATAATTGGTTGATTATAATCACCACGTAATTTTCCCAATAAATTTTCCAATGTTAATTCCATATATTGATCATTTGTTGTCATTGATGTTTTAGTTGATGATGATGATTTGGATAATAACGATGCTGGTGATGAAGATGCGGCGGATGAGGACGATGATGATGATGATGCTAGCAATACAGATTTTGTTTGCACGGTCATCAACGATATTGTTGTTTTTTTCAAACGTTTTTCATTCCAATTACGATCCAATACTGGCCATCCACCTACATCTTGTAATGTATCCAATATTGGTTGTACGGCTATTTTATTAATTTTTTCTATTCAAAACAAACAAACAAAACAAAACAAAATCATCAATAATCATTAATTCTGAAATTCAGAAAGCAGAAAAGAAGAAAAAAGTAACGAAAAAAGATTATCCGAATTAAAATAGGTTTATTTTCTTTCCAGAATTGACAGAGAATATGCTGGAAAGATTAAGATTGTTGTTTTTGTTTGGTTCTTTTTTTCATCATTAAGAAGTAACAAATTAAGGATTTTCCTAACGGAGAGAAGGGAAAAAAATCGAATCAAATCAATCAATAAGAAAGTTTTTGTTTTCTCTGATTGAAATCCTATCTAAATCCCGAATCAAAACAAATCAAAAAAAAAAAGAGATTGATGACCACAGTGACTACAATCAGTACAATCAACTTTTGTCCCAAAGTTTAGTTTTTTTCTCTCTCTCCGTGTGTAATTATTTAGATTCTTATTAAGATTCTTGTTAATTTGTCGGAGAAAAAACGATCAAACAAACGAAAGGTTAATGAAATCAAACAAATTTTGTTTTGTATTTACTTACGTATATTCATACAAGATTGATAGAAACGTTTTGCTTTCAATGTTGCACTATTATCAGCACTGTTTGGCACTTGTTCCAATAAATCTAGTTGCCCAAAAGGCAATTGCAAAAAACAAAACATACGAAAAAATTTTGAAAAAATCAAATATTGAAATGAATGAAAAGATTTTTTCACCTTTAAGTATAATTTGTAAATCATCAGCCATCACTTCAAATGTACTCAAACTAGAACGATCTTCAGGTATAATATGTTTTTTAACCCAATTACCGCAGGCAAATTGAAAAAAATCTTCACATGGATCGGCATTCAAATCCATTGCACTTAATAATGATGCAGCTAATTTGAATTTTATTGGAAATTGAAATTGAAATTGAATTCAAATTAAATGAATGAAAATGAAACAAAAACAAAACAAACAAAGAATAGAAAAAAAAATTTCATTCATTCATTTGAATCAAAAACAAATAATGAAAAGGAAAAACATACATGTTTTCACACATTCCATCGATGTACAGACTTGTATTTCATTAGCTATAGTCAATTGTAAAATGAAAAATTTTTACAAAATTAAAAAAAAAAAAAAATCAATGAAATAATTTTTCCACTACTTACAATTACCATATAGATATGGAATATAAATATAAGCTAATAAAATAAATAATAATAATAATAATAATGATAATAATAAAAATTTTTCCAAACTAGTACGATAATGCCATGAAAGACAATTAGTTGAAGGGCTTTTAAATTGTATTTGAAAATTTTTTCCAATACTAATTATTGTATCTTTACGGCCAGTTGTTGCAAAATAATGTTGTTGTAAATGATAATGTTCTTCTTCACCAATATATGATGAACGATGATTAGTCATTGATGATATTGTTGAACCACGTGTTGTTTTTAATGCACTATTTAATAAACGATTACCACCAACGATATTATCACCACCACCAGAACCACAACTACCTATTGTATCCATATTATTATTATTATTATTATTATTTATCAATGGATTTGCTGTATTATTTGAATATTCATAAACAGATAATTGATTTGTTGACCAATTATCATTTAAATGTTGTTGATTATGATTTTTATTATGATGTTGATGATGATTATGGTGATGATGATGATGTTTTGAATTATTTATATTCGATGTTGATGATAATAAGGATTGTTGTTGTTTGATACCTGATTTTGATAGAAATTTTTTGGAAAAAATGTTTTTTCATTCGAAAAAAATTGCTAGGAAATTACAAAATAATAAGACCTTACCATTATTATTCGGTGTTGTTGTTGTTGTTGTCATTATAAATGGATTTGATGAACCTTTACGTAAAAATTGTAATTGTAAATCAGGTAATGTTAATGATGATGCTTTTTCACGTATGATTGGATTAAATTCTTCATTTGTTGTTGTTGTTATTGATATATCTGATTCGGGTGTCATTGCCATTGTTGTTGTTGTTGTTGTTGTTGTCGTTTGTTGTTGATGTTGATTCGTATTATTTAATAATGATGTTGTTGTTGCTGATGTTGCTAAATCATTCAATTTAACAGGATTAATTGGAAAAAAGTAAGAATCACATAAGGAAGGAATTACATACGATGCATCTGTTGTTGCTGTTTACTACCGGTTGTATTAAGGAATGAATCTCTCTTTGTTTTTGTTTGTTTAATTGAAAAAAACAAAGTAAGAAAATTTATGGAAACATTAAGAAATTTCTGGGAAATTTACCATCGATGTTGGTATACCAATAGTTGAATTAGGTCGTTTAATAATATGTGGTTCTTGAAACATAATTGTTGATGATTTACGTGATGTACGTCCACCACCACCACCGCTACAACCACCACCACTTGATGATAAATTTGATCGACGATAATTACCGGATAAACTATTATTACCATTATAGGAATTTTTTGTTGAATTTTTTGCACTATTTGCACGTGTTATTGTTAATTTATTTGTTGGTGTTTTTATCATAAACGATGATTGTTCATCAACATTATTATTATTATTATTAACAATCGATATTGAACCACAATCGGATGAGCCACAATCATCATTACCATCATCATTTGTTGAATGATTATATCGACGATGTTTTTGTTGTTGTTGTCGTTGTTGTTGTTGATGATTATTATCATCAACATCATCAACAATACTATCCGGTGGTGATGAACCAGTTATATTAACATTAATTAATTGATAATCAAATGATGGAATTGGATTCTGTGATGATGATGATGATGCGGTTGTTGATGGCTGTTTTCGATTCGATTCGGTTTGAGTTTGCGCCATGTTTTTTTTCAATAAATTCTATAAGAAATTTTTAAAAAATTTTAAAATGAAAAATATTTCGACAAACAAACAAACAAACAAAAATGTGAATCAAGGGAATCGAGATTTGCAAACAAAACAAAAAAAACTGAAAAGATTTTCACTTTCTTTTGATTAAAAATTTAAACAAAACAAAGCAAAAAAAAATTTTTTAAATTCTTTTTGGAATTTCAAATGAAATTCTTTTGCCTGCAAAAAACACAAACAAAATCAGTGAAAACACAACGAAAAAAAAAAAAATAAATTCAACCATGATTTCAACGATAACGAATCAACTAAAACTCTAATACTCATGTATTATTCAACAGTTTAAAACATTTTTCGAAATAAACAAAAAAAAGATGAAAAAAAATGTGGATGCAAACAAATAAAATGAATTCTGGAATTCTTTTTTCTCTCTCTCTCTCTCTCTCCCTCCCTGCTCAAGCGTTCTGTCTGTTTGTATTGTGTTAATATTCATTTTTTATTATTAATATCCAGTGTGCCAAACCAGAACAAAAGTGTTCCAGGATCATTGTGTGTGTGCTTAGGCTCAGAAAGCCAGAAATGAAAAATAATAATAAAAATAAGATGTTATTATTGGTTTTCGTTTGGCCAAAAAAAATTCAATATTTTCAAAAATATGATGATGGTGGTCATATGATAATCATTTTTTTGTTTTGAAGGAGAGGGGGGGGTTGCTTTCATATGAATTTCAAATGTTCTTTTGTTGTTGTTGTTGTTTGGTTCCAGGCAAAAAAACAACAAAATCAATGAATACACAGGGTTTATGATTCGAGTATGTGGTTTGATGTTGATGAATGGATTCTTGAGAAATAATTCTTAGCTTTTTTTGTTTTTCAATCACATTTCAAGTGAAACAAAAAATACTTGAATTGGCATTTTTGCATTTTCAATTCTTTTGTATTTGATTTGATGGTCAGAAAACAAAATTTCTGGGAACTTTTTTCATTCCCCGGGAAAATTTTCAATCATCATCATTCGTCCCATATGGAACATAAAAATCATCAACATCATGATGATGATGATGATAATTCGTCATTTTTAATTAAATTAAATTTTTAAGGAGAAAAATAATCATTAGGGAAGAATAAATAAAAAAATTTCTGGAAAATTTCTGAGGAAAAAAACAGACAAAAAATCATCATCATCATAATTATGATTTTAAAAAATTAATTGAAAATTACTTTCATCATCTTCATTGGATTTTTTGTTTTTTTTTGAATATTAACCCGTCGTTATAATTTGGATAGAAAAAGAAGAAAATTTTTGTTTTAGTTTTGGCTGGAACTTTTTCCGAGGAAATTTCTCTCTTTGATTTATTGTTTTGTGAATATCCAGATATTTCATATTGTTTGATTGTTTTAACAAATCAAAATCAAATCTTTCTTGTTTTTGTTCCATTCTAAATCATTTTGCCTATAAGAAATTTGAATCCTGGGATTTTTTTTCGTAATCGAAAGAAATAATAAGCCAAAAAAAAAATCCTCGTGATTCTTATCGAAAAGAAAAGAAAATCAAGAATTTTCCGGAAAATTTACCGAAAAAATTTCCATTTTTTTAGTCAAAAAACCAAAATGCTAAAATCACAATGTCAATCCGACAATCAAATGAAATAATTAATAACTTTTTGTTGTTGTTTTTTTAAAAGCAACAACAACAAAAACAACAACAATCGGTTCCGATTGTCATCATTATTCAAAAGAATCAAAATTTAATCTTCTTTTTTTTCACATTTCGTTTCCGATTCGGGAAATTTTCCGGAAAATTTATTCATTCATTATGTTATCGGTTTTATTCCGATTTTTGTTTTTTGAAAATCAAAAAAACAAAAAAACAAAAACAAAAAAATCGGAATTATCAAGAATCGGATTACGTTACGAAGAATATTCTATGATTGTAACAGCAGCAATGCATGTAATAAATCAACAACAACAACAAAAAGTTTGAAAAAAAATCAAAATTCAGGTTAATTTCAATCAATTCAGTCAAGTCAAGTCAACGGAAAAAAAAGATCGAAAAAGATTTTATGATTATTTTTTTGTGACATATTTCATTGTTGTTGTTGTTGCTGTCATCAGATAAAAAAGAGAACAGTGGTAGATATTTTTGATGGGAGCCATAAATTATAATTCTGTTTGTTTGCTTGTTTGCTTTGCTTGTTCGCTTTGATTTTTTTCAAATTGTTTTTGCGTTTGAATCGATAATTTCTGGTGAAAAACAACCAAGAACAATGCCTGAAATTACCTGTCGAATTGGGCAAACAAAAACAAACTTGATGCTAACCAAGACAAAACGAAACAAAGAAAAAAAATGAAAATTTGAAATTAAATTAACGAGCGAGAGAAAGAGAAAAACCCAGAATTTTCAAAGAATTTTCAACGAAAACCCAGAATAGTCATTAGAATAGTCATTATTATTATCAAGATAAATGCATCACCAAGAAAGAAGAAGGAGAAAAAAAATTAAATTACTGAATTTGAAAAACAAAAATAATAATCATCATAATCATCGTACAGCTGGGGTCCATTAAATGATCTTCGAATAAGAAAATGAAACCAGATTCTATTCAAGAATTTCTGGGCCAGATACCAGAATGAGAATTTAGTTTAGTTTTTCTTCTGGGTTTAATTTGCAGGATAAATGAATGAATGAATGGATGAAAAATTTTGTTATTTTTTGTGTACAGAATTTTCTTCTTTTCTTTTCTTTTATCGTGTGACAAATATTGTTAGACATTAGATAATGATGATTATGAATAGAATATTCTTTCAAACTTACCTTTTTCTTGGTTTAATGTTTTTCGTTTGTCGAATTCGGATTCTTTTCGAATGGAAATTGCTGATGTTGTGGAATGTTTTTGAGAAAGAATTTTGTTTTTTGCTTTTTGAAACGCACAAACACCTAGAAAATTTCAAGACGTGATGATTATTGTTGAAGGAAAAATAAAATCAAAATGAAAATACAAAATTAAAGAATTGAAAAAAAAATTCTAGGATTTTTCTCTTTTTCATTCACATTCGGAATCCTAGAATTCGATTCGCGCATGTGCAATGTGTACAAACGATTTTTGTTTCGATTCTGTGACCACCAATCATGTTGATTGGTCTGTCTGTTTTTTTCGTTTTGAAAAAAAATTCATAAATTCTGTTATTGGTAAAACCTTAATGAATTCTGCATGTCCCGAAAATGTTTCCCGAAAAGATTCTCATTAAAAAAACAAAAACAAAAAATCCATATTTTCAAAGCAAAAAATTTCGATTTTCATCAAGTAAACTCCCCCTCCCCCCAAAAAACCACGCATCCACCCACCAATCATCATTATTATTTTTATTGCCTGCCCTCCATTACTACCATCGTGACACTACTACTGGGGTACTATTTCTTAATTGAAAAAAATGAAAATTTCATCTTTTTCGGGCCTGGGAACAAACTAATCATCATCATCATATGAATTGAAACAAACTTTAACTTGGAGATGATAACGATGATAATGATGATGAACATGAACGGAGAGGAGAAAAACTATGTAACTAATTTTTTTTTCGTTTTTCGTTTTTGTCGGTAATTAATGAACCAAAACGTTTGTGGTCCATTTTTGGTTTGGTTTGGCTCGGGTTTGCTATAAATTTTCTCTGTCGAAAATTTGAAATGAAATGAATCGTATGAATCTTCATTCGAAAGAAAGAAAAAAATTGAAAAGAAAGAAAGAAATTAATTATTTGTAAAAAAAAACAAATGAATGAAGCAAATGAACCGAAAAACATAAAACAAAAACAAAAAAACTGAAATATGAAAATTGAAAACGAGAATCGAACGGAAAAAAGAAAATCTCGGAAACTAAATTCTCAATTAATTAACCAAGTTACAGAAAGATTCGTTTTTTTCTTTGTTTTCATTTTGGATTCTGCTAATTTTTTTCTTGATGAAAATACCGGATATAAAGAAATGACAATTCGAATGTCTATTGTTGTTTTGTTGTTGCTGTTGAAATCGATGAATTGTCTCAAAAGTTTTACTAAAAAAATGAAATCAATTCACTGGAAAATCTGTTTCTTTTTTTCGAAATTTTTTTTTCAATTTTCAGAAACGGAAATACACTGTGAAAATTATAATGTGCAAAACAAAAACAAGCAAATAAAAAAAAAATCCAACCTGCTGCAGTGATGGTGATGAAAATCGATACTATCGATTGTCACTGCTGTTTGTTTGTTTGTGTTTGACAATCGAGTATATTTCACATTGTAATTTGGTTGCAAAAAAAAAGTTTTCAAAGTTTTTTGTTTTTGTATTTGAAAATTGAAGAAAAACAAATATTCAACATTTTTGCAACATAATCAATGGCAAATAAAACTGTTAAAGATGCTATAACCGTACATGGAACAAATCCACAATATTTAATTGAAAAAATTATTCGTACAAGAATATATGAATGTCGTTATTGGAAAGAAGAATGTTTTGGTTTATCAGGTTTGTTAATTTGTTTTCGAAAAAAATAATTGTTTGTTTGTTTGTTTTATCCCATTAACGATTTTTTCTTTCCCATTCAATTCATAGCTGAACTTGTTGTTGATAAAGGAACTGAATTACGTTATATTGGTGGATCATATGGTGGTAACATTAAAACCACACCGTTTTTATGTTTAACATTAAAATTATTACAGATACAGCCTGAAAAAGATATTATCATTGAATTTATAAGGCAAGAAAATTTTAAATATGTTCGTGCGCTTGGTGCATTTTATCTACGATTAATTGGAAATTCATTAGATATTTATAAATATCTTGAACCATTATATAATGATTATCGAAAATTACGTCGTATGACTAAAATGGGCAGTAAGTAATTGTTTCATAATTATAATCTTTAATCATATTTTTTTTAAAATTTAAAATTACAATTTTAATCTTTTCTTTTCAAAACAAAAAATTCATTTAGCATTCGATATTGTTTATATGGATGAATTTATTGATCTACTTCTTCGTGAAGATCGTGTATTCGATATTATATTACCACGTTTAACTAAACGTTTTGTACATGAAGAAAATGGTGAACTAACTAAACGTATTAGTTTGATTGAAGAGGATTTAGATCTTGATGCCAATAATGATGATGACGATGATGACAAAAATGATTCGGATAAAAACGCATCACTCGATTCGGACGACGATGATCGTAATCGTAAAAAAAGACGATCACGAACACCTGAAAGATATCGTTCACATCATGATGATGATGATGATCGTCGTCGGCGACGAAATCATCAATCATCACCTTCAACAAGCTCTCATAGACGTTATAACCATGACAATGATGATGATCGTCAATCACATGGTCATCATCATTCTCGGCGACAACGATCATCATCACGTGATCGACGACATAATCGTCGATCTCGTACACCTGATGAAAAATCCTCCAATCGTCAACGTGATCATCGTAAAGATAAACGAAAAGATTATGAACAACCAGAAAAATCTAAAGAACCAAAAAATGAAACAGATGAAATTGCCGAAATGAATGCATTACGTGCTAAATTAGGATTAAAACCTTTAAGACCATAAATTATAAAAATCATATTTTTTTTTTTGTTTTGTACAAATTTTATTTATACATTTTCACACAATCATATCAACAAACAATAACGATAATAAATGAATTATATTTGAAAATCACCGATACCCGATGATGATGATGATGATTCAGTGGTTGTTGTTGTCGATGTTGTTGATGTTAATGATGGTGATAAATCATTCGATGGTGTTTCCAATTGTTTTAATTGACGAAATAATGTTGATGCATCACGTATCTGTGAAAATTCAATACAAAATGCTTGTATTTCAAAAAATATTTTTCTTATATCAATAATATCTTTTCTAATTAATGCTGTTAAAAATACACATACTAAACGTACTAAACGATTCTGTTGATAACGATCTTTAATATTTTCACATGTACGTATACAATTTGTTATATAACGATAGATAAATTCTTCTGGTAATAATAGCTGTGTGGATAATTTATTAACAACTTCGATTGAATGTAATGATGTATCCATATCGACTAATGCAGCAAGATAATTACGTATTGTTGACATTGTAATAATTATTTCATTATCTTTCATTGTTGTTGATGATGATGGTGATTGTAATGATTGATTTTTTAATGATGATTGTTCAATCAATATTGGTAATAATTCATGTGCAATAATTGGATTATTTTCCACTAGGCCAGGTAAACTTTTTGGATCAACAACTGTTGCAATTGATTTTAATAACAATAATGATGATGTAGATGTGGATGATTTTATTGTTTTAAATTTTGATTGTACAGATTTTATTTCAGGCATTGTTAATGATTGTTGACATGCTTTTTTCAATAAATTTGTTATATTTTCATCATTATCATCATCATCATCATCATTATTTTCAATATTCGGATCCAGATTAATGTTTGATTCATTAATTTTATGATTACCACCACCGTTATTATTATTATTATTATCATCTTTATTATTGACCAGAGAAAATTGTTGCCATCGTTTATTATTATCAACAATAATATTGAATGGAAGCTATAAATATTGAAAAAAAGCAAATTGAAAATTTCGTAAATGAAATATATATTCAAATAACAACATACCTCGACCAAAGAATTATCAAATGATGATGATGATTGCAATGAATTCATTGAATGATTATGATTATAATAATTGACTAGATTATTATTATTTAGAAAATATTCCACATCAATATCATAGTTAGATTTAAGTAATGATTTTAATAAATTATTTATCTTTTCTTTTGGATCATCGCTATTCAGAAAAGAAAAAATATAAATTTTTGTAAATTAGAAAAAGAAAAATCCAAAAAACAAACTTACAAATCAAAATGTTCATTTTCATTTTTGATTGATGATGGAAAAAATGGAAAATAATATAAACATGATCGATTGATCATATGCCGTATGTATGAAAGAAATTCTGTTTTTGTTATCGGTTTTATTGATGAATTTTCTGCGAACGTTGTTGTTGAGGTAGAATTTTGGCCACTAATATTGGTTGATGATGATGAACATTCGACAAATTGTTGTTGTTGTTGTTTGAAATAAATGCTTTCAAAAATTGAATGCTGTAAAAATGAATAATTTTCACCAAAAAATTTTCTACGAAATTTTTTCATTACTGAAACCTGTTGCGGTAAAAAATCACAGCTTACAATATCCATTGGACTTAGTTTTAGAAACTAAATTAAGAAAAAATGGAAAGAAATGTGAGTAAGGTAAACAAACAAAAACAAACAAACACAACAAACCTCCTGCATGGACAAATCATCATTAATCAGAAAAAGACTAATGAAAAAATTCTTGGCAATAGTGGATAATTGTGGAAATTCAAATACAGTATAAATATCAACAGCAACTGGTTTTTCAAAATTATCCAGGAAAAATTTCGGTATAAATCTTGTTGTCGATGTTAATAATGGATCTTGTTGTGATAGTTGATTATGGCCATTATCATCATTATTATGAGTATTATTATTATCATTCGTTAAATGATGATCATCACTATTATTGTTGTTTTTCATTGTTTCATTATGGTTCGATATTGTTGTCATCGATGATTGTTGTTGATTAGATATTCTTTCAATAAAATCATACATTTTAACAAAATCCGAATTTTTCAATATATTACGTATTTCAAAATGTTCACGTATTACTTTTTTTATATGTTTAGATAATACCTGTAATTTTGTTAATAATAATTGTGAATTTGTATGATAATCACAAATCAGATTTTGTTCAATTCCAGATTCAATAAAATTTTGTTGTTCCATTAATTGATCAAACCGATCGATAATATCGAAATAATTTTCAAAAAATTTTAAATAATTTTCATCCTGGAAATTTTGAAATTTTTCTTTAAAAAATTTTTGAAAATCATGTATAAATTGAAAGTAGATTGCACTACTTTTATATGTTGATATATTCTGTTTGTGCGAAAAGAAAAGAGAAAATGGATGAAATGGATAACATTCGAAAGAATCAGTCAATCAACCAAAAAACAAACTAACCAAAATATCATAAATGATACCATTGAATGGATTATAAATTTTTTTTGGCCAATTATAAATATCATATAATAAATATAATGAAATAATTTTTTGTGAAAATTTTGGCAATAAAACAGTATGATGAAATAATAATTGTACAATAAAACGACCAATTTCAAATTTAAAACAATATTCTTCATCACTTTCATTGCCATTATCATTTGTTGCTGATTGTAATTGTTGTAAAAAATAACGAAATGCCTGGCCAATATAGCTGAATTGTTTGGATTGTAAATTTTCATCGGTTAAAAATCTATAAATGGAAAAAAATCAAAAACTCGAAGAAAAATTCTTATAGAAACATACACAAGAATCTGTTGAAATGATTCGAACACCAAAGACATCGTCGTCGTCGTTTAGGTAGCAATTTTTTTCTTTATACAAAAATCCAATTGTTGATAAATAATGAAAGAAAAATTTCGATTCCATTTAATTGTTTTTTCGGCCAAAAATAGTGAATGCCAAACAAATTGGAAAATATTTTCGTTGTCGAAGCTCTTATCAGATTGGAAAATATGTTTCGATTATCATTTTTTGAATCAAAAAAAAAAAATTCAGCGTTTGAATAGATTCTCTGTCCCGGATGCAAACTGTTGCAAATTCAATTTAACATTGGAAAACGAAAACAACCGAAACAAAACAAAACAAAACAAAATTATCACCGTTGTTTTTCATCAAATAATATTTTCTCTCATTATCATCGAACAACCTCATCATCATCAACATCAGCAACAACAACATCAACATCATCAATAACAACAGTAAATATTTGATCTGATAGCGACATCTAATGATTAAAATTTTGAAAAAATTTATTGAATAACTTTCATCGTATGAAAATAAATTTTTGCATTTGTTTATGAAAAAGCATTTGGTCAGCCATTAATGTGTGTTTTGTATTGATTTTTTCCTTGCGCGATGACTTAATGTTTTTTTTGCTTTACTTTTCTGTTTTTCTGCTTTTTTCAATCATTCCACAATTAACAATTTCGAAAATAGCGAAAACGAGAATTTCATTCATCCAATTCACGTGTTGATAAACGTTTTTCTTATTTTTCGGATCTTTCGGATTACGTCATTCGATTTTGTTTTGATAAAAATTTTGTTTTTGTTTGCATGTTTTGGTCGTATGCGAGTGAGAGAGAGTAACCAAGAAGAAGAAAAAAAACTTGAAATTTTTTTTTGCTTCGGAAATGCTGAATTTCGATAAGGTTTGTTTCATGACTTATTTTCTTTTCCCCTTTCTAATTTTTCTAATTTTGTGGCAAAGATTCGATATAATTCTAATTGGTCATTGGTAATAACAATTTTCAAGAAAAAGAAAATCGATTGATTGATTTTTCGAACAAATTCAATTCGTTCGAATGGTGAAACAAAAGAGTGAACAATTTTTGGCTGGCTTAAAACAAAATTTTTTCGATTCGAAATCTTTTTGGTGATTCGGTTTGTTTGATTGATTGATACAAATAACAATGAAAAACAGTGAAGAAAATGATGATGCCGATAATTTGGCAAAAAATCCAAATGAAGAAGATAATAAAATGGAAGAAAACAAAGATGATCAAGAAAAAGATGAACAATCGATTCGTGATTATATTAAAGAATTAACCGAAAGATTTCAAGAAAAACGTAAAAAACGTTATGAAAATGATCCAACAAATATTGAATATCCAGATGAAGATCTGTTCGTACGATTAGATACATCGATCAAAAAAAATACAGCATTTGTTAAAAAAATACGTAATATGAATGAAACAAATAAAGATTTAATAATGAAAGATTTAGAAAATCTTAATCTAACACGTTTCATATCGGAATTAGCAACAGCATTGGTTGAAACAAAAATCAAAGCAACTGAAATCAATTTATTCATACAGATTTGTTCATTTTTACATTGTCGTTATCCAGAATTTGCCGCACATTTATTCGATGCATGGAATAAAAATCTACCAAAAAAACCAACCGATCAATTTAATGCATCCAAAATGCGTATCGATATTAAAATATTTACCGAATTAATTTTATCGGGTATATTTTCAACCAAAGATTCATTACCAGCATTAGGAAATTTACTTACCATACTAACAAATTCGGATAAAGAATCACATAAAAATTTAAATATTTTAATTGTATTTTGTCGTAGTTATGGTGTTGAATTCGCCGGGATTTATCCACGACGTCAACGTTTATTAGCTGAAAAATTTCAACAAAATTTACCTGTTTGTGATTTTTTATCAATCGAACGACAAAAAGGTGTACGAACATTATTAAAAGATTATTATCAATCATTAATACAACATATATCAAAAGATCGTAAATATTTATTTCATTTAAAAAATGATATGAAACGTAATTTAGAAACACGTGGTGAAGTTTCCGAAACATTACAGGAACGTTGGAAAACTAAATCAACGGAATTTGAAAAATTACATCAATCAACAATAATATTTGCCGATTTAATAGATGAACAAATGCCCGATATTGATATTGAAACATTAGAAAATGATACAATATTAATGAAAAATGAAAATGTAACAGCTGTTTTATTTGATTTAAATCGTTTTAAAGAAAATAATCCAACAATATGGGATGATGAAGAAACAAGAATATTTTATGAAAAATTACCTGATTTAAAATCATTAGTACCGGCTATGCTTTATAAGGATAGTTTAAAGGATGATACAACGACAGCTACAGCAGCAAGTAACAATTTGACTGAAACTGGAAAAGAAATTGTTGGTGACCAGCCTGAAAATGATCAACCATCAACAGTCGAAACCGATATAGCTGATCTGACCAATGATGATGATGATCTAATATTAACGGGTGATGATACAACAATACCAGATCCAAAAGATGTACCATTATTGAATGAAAATGATGATTTGGATGTTTTGGATGATAACAAAACAACAACAACAACAACAACAATGAATGGTCGAACACGTTTGGTAAAATTTAATTTTAATGCAACCAAAGATCAATTGGATACATTTTTTTCTAGTCTTCCGAATTGTGTTAATTGTGATCTGATTGATAAAGCCGCTTTGCATTTTGCTACAACATTTAATACGAAAAATAATCGAAAAAAATTAGTTGATATATTGATTCGTGTACCACGTACACGTTTAGATTTATTACCATTTTATGGTCGTTTTGTTGCTCAATTAACACCAATTATGCCAAGTGTTTCGAATGAACTTTGTGTTGGATTAAAAAATCAATTTCGTTATAATTTTTATAAAAAAGATCAAGTTTATATTGAAAGCAAAGTAAAAATTATACGTTTTATTAGTGAATTGGTTAAATTTAATTTGTTTTCCAAGACTGAAGCACTTAAAATTCTTAAGGTATGTTGTTTTTTCCATTGTTGTTTTTTCAATTTCTTTATCATTTTTTTTCATTCATTCATTCATACCAGACACTATTATCAGATTTTCATCATCATCATATTGAAATGACTTGTAATCTATTTGAAGTTTGTGGCCGTTATCTATATCGTTGCCCAGAATCACATCATATGACAAATTTATTATTACAACAAATGATGCGATTGAAAAATCATATGTATGTTAATACTAGATATGAAACAATGATACAGAATGCTTATTATTCGGTTACATCGGAAGATAAATCGGTTAGTCTTTGGGGTTTTTTTCATTTATCCCTTATATATAATTTTTGTGTAATTTTTTTTAACCCCACACATTTTTTAGTCTTCAAGAATAATACCGGCCAAACCAATAATGCATCAATATATTGAACATTTAATTTATACAGAATTAACACGTAAAAATGTATCGAATGTATTGAAAAAATTACGTCGTTTAAATTGGAATGATAAAGATATTAATACATTTGCTATAAAAACTTTGTCATCAGCATGGAATATAAAATATGATAATATACCAGCATTGGCTAGTTTATTATCAAATTTATCACAAAATCGTTCACAAACAGTATTGATGGTAATGGATACAATATTGGAAAATATTCGTATCGGTATGCAAATGAATTCATTGGAATATAATCAACGTCGTATAGCGACAATAAAATATTTTGCCGAATGTTTTAATTATAATCTTTTTGATTCAACATTATTATTTAATATAATGTATTCATTATTATTATATGGTGTTGATTATAATGATCTTTCGAAAAGTACAATGGATTCACCATTTAATTTAATACGTTTTCGTTTGGTTGCACAAATTTTACATATTTGTGGTCATTTTTTATTATCACCAGTTGCAAAAAAGAAATTGGATTTTTTTCTATTATTTTTTCAGGTAAGAAAGTTTTTTCGTTTTTCAAATTATCATCAAAAACGTTTTTATTTTCTACTTTTTTTTCCTTTTCATAAAAGCGTTATTATTGGCTAAAGAAATCCTATACAAATTCATTACCAATCGAAACAATCGATCAGATGTCATTATTTTATTTGGATGCAATATTTGCTGATGTTTTACAATTTTTACGTTTAAAATTTAAAAAAGCTGAATCATATGAAGATTCTTGTAAACAATTGGAACAAAGTTTAGAAGATTTAGCAAAAAATTTGAAAAATGTATTGCCAAATTTAAAGAATGTATCGATAAAAAATGTATTAACAAATCAGGCAACAACAACAATCAATAATAATAATAAAGATGGTGGACAACTTGAACCAATCAAAGAAGATTCTGAAAATGAAATTATCGATGATAATAATGATGGTGACAAATTACAACAACTGCCTAAAAAACATGAAAATAATAATAATAGCAATAATAATAATAAGGAAGATAATTTTAATCCTTTCATCATCATCAATAATAATCAAAATGATTGTGATAATAATAATAATAATAATTCCGGTGGTAATATTGTCACCGCTGCTGCTGATTATAATAGTGATTATGATCAAGAAGATAATGATGATGAAGAAGAAGAAGATAATCATAGTAGTATTGGTGCCTTTAATAATGATAATAATAATGGTGGCGTCGGCTGTTCATCATCACAACCAATCATTGAACAACAATCAACCGAACAAAAAGATAATTATAATGATCCTATCAATAATGCGGATATCGATCCTGATGATGATGATGATAGTGATGATGATGATGATTTAGATAATAGTAATGAAGAAGATATTGATGAGGATGATGATGATGAATATGATGATGATATTGATGATGAAGATGATGTTGATGTTGTTGACGAAGAAGAAGATGAAGATGATGATGATAAGGGTGATGATAATGGTAATGGTGGTAGCAGTAGTATACGAATACAACCATGTGAAGAAGATGATAAATTTCAATTAGATTTTGAACGTTTAATGATGGAAAATTTACAATCACGTTCACAAGAAGTAACACAACGTATAAATGTTGAAATTGTTATACCAATTGAACGTGATTCTGGTCGACAACAATTTAGTGGTGGTATTGGTGGTGATCATCATCATAATTCATCATCATTATTTTCATTAGAACCATCAACAACAACAACAACAACAAATCGTAATCGACAACAATCATCAAAAGAATCAGAAGAAACCAAATTCAATTTTCGTGTTATGACTAAAAATCAAAAATCAAATAAACCAATATTACGTTCGATTGAAGTACCTGTTGATTCGGATTTAGTACAGAATTTTTTAGAACGTGAACGTGAAAAGAAACGTGAAAAAGAACAGGTGAAAAAATTAATACTTGGCTTTAATGAACGTAGAGAAATGGAAGATCATCAAAATCCATCAAATTCATCATCATCATCAATTTCAAGTGTTAATTCGAGTAATGTTAAATCAATGGCGGCTGGTGATCATCATTATCAACAAAATAGATCTCCTGGTGGTGGTGGTGGTTATTTTCATCATTATCGTGGTGGTGGTGGTAATTATCGAAAACGTTTTCAATAATCATCATCATTAACATTGTTAATGAGATTCAATAATGTCATTGGGTGTCTTAATTGAAGTTTTTTTTCTGTTTTGATGTTGACTTCAAGAAAAAATTTTTTCTCACGATATGAACCATGATGAAAACATCATTCAGGTTTATTATTTTTCTTTTTACACTAACAAGTTTCGCCAGACTAATTATCCATCCATCGAGAAGAAAAATCGAAAGACAAAATAACAAAAGAAAGAAACAAGGACAAGCAGCAGGCCTGAAAATTTTTCCTGGATAAATGAATGTCGATATAAATCAATCACAGTGTGTCTGCTTGTTGATGGTAATATGATGGGTGTGTGTGTGTAAGCTTACGCAAGTGTTGTGACAATCCTTGTTTTTTGTTTTTTTGTTTAATGATAATGAAAAATGTGTTGAATCAAATTTGTGAACACTTTTTGTTTGTTTGTTGAATTAAAGAAATAAAAATTAAGATAAAGTAAAGTAAATACAGAATTTTGCTTGTTTTGAATTTTGTTTATTTATTCAATCAGAATCAGAATCATTATTATGATCGTTTTGTTCAGATTTTTCACTTAAAAATTGTCGTTTTTTAGCCGTATTCATATATGGTCGATATGCCCATTCAGTATCGATTGCCATTTCATTATCGATTGTACCTAATTTAATTTCATATAATTTTAATTCAAATCTTGGACCAATTTCGGCCAATTCAATACGGCCATCAATCATTTTATAAATATGATGACGAAATGAAATATAATCATTTTGATTTGCAAATGTCATTACACGTTTACTATCCGCTTTTGGAACTGGAAATAAATAACGAAGAATATTCTGTACACGTATACCTAATTTTCCACTAAAATTATCAAATATTAAATGTGGATATTGTTCGGACATTGTACCAACATTAGGTATATCATGTCTCATTACAGTATTTAATATTTGAAAATATGCAGTCGGACCGAATGGCAGATGGCTAATAACCAAACCATCCGGATTACCACGTGTTTCATGTATGATAATAAAATCGGTTACATTATTCGATTTACATGTTTGAATCAATTGTTTCATATGATAATTACCACGATTGATTCGTTGTGAATTTGGTATGATTAATTTAAATTCCTATTTTTTTTTTTTTTTTGAACAATAAAAGAAATGAGATAAGAGAAAACAGACGATTTTTAGATCAAGGATAGAAATTAAATTAAATTTACTGAATCAATTTATACTTTGGCAAACATTTTTAATCTTGAACTTGGATCACGTGATGTTGTTATAACTACTTTTGGATCTTCAATACCAGCCCAACGATATTCATCATCTTCATGTGATGTAACTAATTCTGATGCTTGATCATCCCATTCAAGTGTATTTTGTAATGATAATGCATCATTTTTTAGGTCAGTTGGAATCTTTTTTCGTTCTAATGTTTTTCGGGGGGGGGAATATTATTAAAAAAAAATTCATCAGAAAAAAAAGATTTCAAAATTATCATCAATAATAATAACATACGTTGAAGGGCTTGTTGAAGACGTTGTTTCTTTTCAGTAATTGCTCGTTTTTGTTCTTCTTGAGATTTACGAATCAAATATTCTCTTCGTAATCGTTGTTGTCGTTGAATCTGTTATGTATTTTGTTTTTGTTATTTAGAAAAATTATTTTCATTTTCAAAAAATATTAACAAGGAAAAATAATCAAATAAATGTCAAAAATGTTTACCATTTTTCTTTTATTCCACAATGACAAAAAATAATTATGAATGAATGAATGAATGAATTAGGTAATCAATCGAGAGGAAAAAAAACAAAATTTAAATTCAAAAAAATTATAAAAAAATCCAAAATTGGAACAAGGTAAAGAAATGTTTTCTTTGAAGAAAGAAAAACACTGTAAAACACGTGTGTGCATCATAAATACTATTTCAACATGATCGACCTATAAATGTATGAATAGCCTAATACTGTATTTTTTTTTTCATTGACATTCGAATTCGAATGTCGCGCGATGTTTGTTGTTGTTGTTCTAAATCGATGATATTTTTGGTTTTTGTAATCATCATCATCATGGAAAAGGAAAATTTCCAACATAAATACATCACCAAAAACAGCAAAAGAAAAGATAAATAGTTACAGCGTTTGAAGAAAAGAACAAAAACATTGTGATATTTGTACAAAAACATTGTAAAGATTGACATTGAACATTTGAATCAAACAACAACAACAACGAAAAAAAAAATGTATTTCAACAAAACAAACGAAATAAGAAAAAATTTACAAACCAACAAACAAACGATATGTTAAAATCTCAAATGAAGAAAAGAAGAAAATGTTGTTCACATTAAAAATAACAACAAAAAAAATAAGCAACAACAACAACGACTATGAAAAGATAATCTTTGAATAAAAAAAGTTGATAAGGAAAAAAATGATGATGAAAAATATAAATGACATTTGATGATGATGATGACCAATCTATTATTATTATTATGATTATCAAATGAATCGAAAAAATGGAGATCGAAAATATTATACAAATGTTGAAATGAAATGAAATGAAGAATAATGATAATGATGACATCGATAAAAGAAAAAATCGATGATGATAATGACCATAGACACTTTTCTCCTGGTGAATGTCCGAATAAATAAATAGTAATACCCGAAATAATAATCGAATCGAATCATTCGATTTCACTATTTTAACCAACAAGTGATGGACGACGTCGTTGATGATGCATTAAATTTTTCAATCGTTTACTCAATTTTTTAATCGTTGTTGGTTGTTTCTTTTTATGACGTCCAGATGATGATGATGATGATGATGATGCCGGTGATGGTGATACTAAACGTAATTGATTAACACTATGTAATCCTTTCATTGGATAACGATGATTTTGTTGATGAAAACGATTAAAACGATTACGTAAATTCATCATTGGTGAACGAAATCTATTCGATGATAATGGACGACGGAATTTTTTATTCTTTGTATTCGATAAAAATGATTTATTCTTTTTGTTATTATTTTTCGATTTTGTAGCAGGTTTTTGTTGTTGTTGTTGTTGTTTCTGTGGTTGTTGTTGCTGTTGTTGTTGATTATAATTATTATTAACGAAATTCTGCTGTTGTGGTTGAACAATAGGAACCATAGGTACAGCAGGTACAGCCATTGGAATTGGCATCGGTTGTATTGGTATTTGCGGTGGTATTCCACCATTAAATTCATTAAAATATGGTTGATGTGGTGGTGATGAATAAAATTGCTGGGGTTGCTGCATTGGCATTGGCATAATAGGATGCTGCATTGGTGGTGATATTGGTGGATCATTATATATTGGTTGTTCCGGTATAAATTGTTGTTCATCATTAAATGTTTCTTGATGATCATTATGATTTGATGATCCATAAAATTGATCTGAATGTTGTTGTTGTTGTTCAACATAATTTTGATTATTATAATTTGAATTTGAATTCGGTTGTCTTTGTTGATTGTAATTTTGATTCTGATTCTGTTGATGATTTTGATTAAAATTCTGATTATGATTTTGTTGATTTTGATTGTAATTCTGATTCTGATTCTGTTGATTTTGATTGTAATTTTGATTCTGATTCTGTTGATTTTGATTATAATTCTGTTGTTGATTGAAATTCTGATTCTGATGTTGTTGATTATAATTCTGATTATTCTGTTGTTGTTGCTGATTGTAATTCTGATTATTCTGTTGTTGTTGCTGATTGTAATTCTGATTATTCTGTTGCTGTTGTTGATTATAATTCTGATTGTTATTTTGTTGTGGATTAAAATTCTGATTCTGATTCTGTTGTTGATAATTCTGATTATTATGTTGCTGTTGTTGATTATAATTCTGATTCTGTTGCGATGAACCTTGATTATTATTATTATAATTATTATTATTATTGAAATTTTGTTGATTCTGTTGCATCGGTCGATTGTTGTTATTGTTGAAATTCTGTTGTTGTGGAACCTGTTGTTGATAATGATGATTACCACCACCACCACCTTGTTGATTATAATTTTGTTGTTGTTGCGGTGGCTGAATCGGTTGCCATTGATTTTGTTGTCCACCTTGATGTTGTTGATTAAAATTTTGTTGCTGCTGTTGTTGTTGATTTGGTGGATTTTTTTGCTCAACATTGATTTGTGGTAATGGGCCGAAAAATTGTTCTTCCGAAATTGGCGGTGTTTTCGGTGGTGTTTTAAAAATATCATTAACATTCAATACAATTGGACCATGATCTTTTTGTGTTAGATTAAATATTCTTGGTGGATGATTTTGTTGTTGTTTTGTTGGTGGTACACGAATAAATTGTACTGGACGATGTGTTATAACAGCAGCTTGTATTGTTTTTTTATGATTTACAATTTGTAATTCACCACCATTATTATTATCATTACCTTGTTGATTTTGTTGATTAAAATTAGGATTTGGTAGTAATGGTTGCCATCCACCTCCTTGATCTTGATTTTGATTAAAATTTTGATTCTGATTCGAATGTTGTTGCGGTGAACTTTGTTGAAAATTCTGATTCTGTTGTTGTTGCTGTTGTTGCCATCCTCCACCTTGATGATTCAGATTATTTTGTTGTTGTTGTGGTCCTTGATTATTATTATTATAATTCATCGATCCTTGATTATTAAACTGTCGTTGACCATTTTGTTGATAATTTTGTTGTTGTTGTTGAAAATTACCATTACCATTATTTAAATTTGTTTGAAAATTATCTGCTGTTGATGGATAAAATGATTGTTGTTTAAAATGATTTTCCGATGCTTGCGGTATATTATTTGAATTATCAAAATATTCACTAAAATCATCACCATTATCATCATCATCGAAAAGGCTATTTTGATTCCAATTTAAATTTTTTCTATTTCGATCCAAATATTCAATTGATTGATCATCATCATCATTATCATAATAATCATTGCCATAATAATCAAATCGTTTGATTGATGATTGATTTGTTGATTGTTGTCGCTGATGGTGATGGTGTTGGTGTTGTTGTTCACTTTTATTATTATCATTGATTAATGATGGTAATGATGATGATAATAAATCATTACTATTTCTACTTTCATTGGTGGCTATTTTAACAACAATACTTGTCATATTAATACATGATGATTGATTTGATCTTAACATAAGTATCATCATAATCAAATATGGCTAATAATAAGTGATACCGGCACGACAAACACCGACACGCACACAAAGGACGTAATCCCAAAAATAGTTTCAAATTATGATTATGATCAATCAATC